ATGATGTCACATTACGCCCAAATATAGGCATATCACATTATGTGATAGAGTGGACAGGGTTTAAATGACTAATTTTTTTTTTCAATATCTTGTAAAACATTCTCCAAAATGTCTTGATAAATTTTCTATTTTGTATCTTATTTATTTTTATTTCATTTTATCTAACAGTGTAAATGCCAATAATAGGATGAAATTACAATAGGCAAGTATACACACAAGGTGCACTACATTGAATCTAATTGGAGAGGAGTTGTTTTTGGTCATAAGAAGAAGGTACGTAACTTTGACAAGAACTGAAACCAGTTGAGAAAGAGAGGAATGCATTGGATCACTAGAAGATTATGCAATTGTGCAAAAATAATTCTATTTTGATATCTTTATGTAGTGAATATATGCAAATTATTACAGTATGCTAATTTGCATATACACATTCGCTACATAGCAAATGTGTATGCAGTTTATTATGCTAATTTGCATAAACACAATTGCTACATAGCAAATGTGTACATGCATTTGATCATGCTAATTTGCATATACACATTTGGTGCATAGCAAATGTGTATATGCAAATGATTATGCTAATTTTACAACTTACCATATATAAACAACACTGAGCTGTACAAGAAATTTGTCATCAGTACCCAATAAACAACCATAGCACCTATTAACGCTGACAGCGAAAACACCACACTTCCATATAACCCCCATCGACCCAAGTACTGCCGGCATGCATCGGAAAACTCCAAAATCTTGCCTGGCCTTAATTGTTCTAAAAACATAAAGTTCAATTTATTTTGTCATACGATATTATAGTACATATAAATTTTCCAGGTTATATGGTACAACAATAAGATCAACATCATAAACAATAAAGAAAAGGTACTAATTTATAACCATATTCATTCTCCATTCCTATTATCACCATCACCAACACCATCATTACCACCACCATCATTGCCATCATCATCATTTCTACCATTTATTACCACAACCATCACCATACACGTCCTAATAATGATCAACCTCACCATCATTATCAGCATTATCATCACCAAAAGTAACACCACAAGAACGTCATCACCATCACTACCACCAATTTCATCAACATCACATTCATCACCATTACCTTCATCACCATCACCAATATCACCATCACCAATACCTTTATCACCATCACCCCACCTTCATCACCACATTTATAACCATCAACACCACCACTTTCATCCCCATCAACACTACCATCACCATCATCACAACCACAACCACAACCTTAATCACCATCACCACCATTCTCATCACCACACCACTATCACTACTGCCAAACTGAATACAATAACTGATAAATAATAAATAAAAACAAACCTAATGATTGTACAGCTTCAATGACTCTGTAGCAAGTATACAGTGCTAGGCCTGCCATCACCACCAACAATGCAATGCCGCAAGCAAAGCCAGCCTGTTGGATGGCCCATGGCATACTCAGCAATGATGTACCCATCATGGTGTTCCATATAGAAAATCTAGACAGACAAAATAAAACAAGGTCACTGATTGGCTAGCAATCTTATCAGGGACAGATGAAAGATTTTGAAAACAAATGGGAGTCTTTGTTATATTGTATAGGAAAGAGCCAAATAGATACAAAAAAAAAATAGATACAATTACAGTATCTAGCATGAGTAGAATTCCTGCACGATTAAAAAAATCATTAACGGTACTGGGTTTGGTCTACAGGAGCTTGTGCTTTGAACAGGTCATTCCATTATTAGAAGAAGCCTTTTGATGAAAAAAGTGTACCTTTTTACTTTAGCAAGGTTTGCCTAGATCTAAACTAATTCTGGCTATACAAAATTGATTAGAAAATTGAAAATGTTATTCTTATTAATCAATAGTTAAGGATTACTATTTTCTTTTTAATCTAGGTAAATTAATTTACTTTCAGAATTTATATTTAATTAATTAAAACCGTTTAAGTACAGTACTTATTTGAAAAAAAATAATATAATAAAGTTTATAATAATATTTAATACTATTTAAATAAAGCAATAGTAAATAATGTTACAATTAGGTCTACAAAAGTGAGAGGAAGAAGGAAGAAAAGCAAAGAGGTCTGGAGTGGCTTAGAATTGTATTGGAAATTATATAATGATGATAATGGCTCATTAATATATTTTACGTGTTCGTAGTAAATTTTGGACACTCATCATCAGGTCAAGCCAGCACGTTTCATAATTTTTAATAATTCTTATGCAAAGACCCTTAAATTTCCATGTAAACAATTAAGAAAGTTTTTTGCAGTCTGTAAATTGGTAAAAAAAAAAACCTGAGTAATATTAATCTAATTGGACATATATTTTATTCCATCCCTTTAATTCAGCAATTATAAAAAAAATAATATTAGATTTTAAGAACAACAGTATCTTTCAAATTAGATAATGAAATTATTTCACTTTCAATTCAGATGATTCTGTAACTTTTCTTGTCTTAAAATAAGTTTACATTTATAATGAAAAATACATGAAACTTATAGGCTGGTTGGATCGCTGAGCGCTTAAGGCAGGGGTGCTGCAACATTACAGCCATCATATCGGTGCTGGTTCTAATGGCACACTCGCCTATGGTTCCGATGGTGGAAAAAGTCTTCTCGGATCAGGACTGTAAACCGCTGGTCCAGCATACACAATTGGCACTTAAAAGAACCCAGTATATATTTTGTGACGAGTAGGGGGTTACTCCGGTGTAATGGTCCATACAGCCCCTGTTGTGGACAGACTAGAGTAGCTGGTACTGGTTTACCAGGTAGCACAGACACGAAGAGACCCTTAGGGGAGAAGAAAGTTACTTTAAGAGCAGTCCACACCTCAAGCACTTTGATACTTCTGTATTATAAAGCACTATATAAATCAAACTACATTACATTACATTACATATATTTATGAATTATCATTTTATATAAATTCAATTCTTACATTGTAACAATGCTTCCTTGTTTCGCCTGTTCGTCTTTTTTTATACCAAAAGGTGAAGTTAAGCTGAACATGTAGAATGGCAAAACATGGTCAGGAATCCGCTAATGATAAAACAAAGACAATCAGCATTAAGTTACATATATTGGGCCAAAAAAAAAAAATACTAGTTTCTCGTCCCTCACCAAGTTTTTTTTTTTAATTTTCTTTATTTTACAAAATGTATGAAAATCTATAAAATTCCTCTCTCGATCATTTTGGGTTGGGGATACATATGGTATGAATCATATCTAGTGCTTCTTTTATTTGCTTTCAATGTGTCTACTTGGTAAAAGTGAGAAAGTAGTAGTTTGTTTCCCATCGACCATCTTGGATTTGCCATCTTGGAAAAAGTGCCTTCATTCTCCTTTTTTCAAAATATTAGGACCAGAAACCACTTTCTTTCTTTTTTTTTTTTATTTGACCTTAGTGATACACTAATTTTCCTGTGTACACATCAAATTCAACATCACATCAAATTCAAATTAAACATATTAATCAAGTCTTTTATGGGATTATTTGTATGTAGGCAACTGATTACTTAGCCACCTTATACTTAATACTGTAATTAAGGTAATTTAACAAAATCATAAAGCTTTTGGAACACCATGTGTAAAATAATGGTTTTTGAGGTAAAACCACTGGCTTGTTCCGAATGTCATCAGGAGAATGAAGGAGAAGATGACTTTGGTTGGTCTTCAATAGAAACAAAGACGGTGTGAAGAGTGGTTGATTGAAATAAGAAAGCCAGGTAGAGTCCATCTAAAAATACTATAGATGGCATTGCTAAAAGAAAGTGGATTATCTGGGACCTATTAACTTTAAGCAATTCTTTTTATTAATTAGGCTTTGTGAGCAGAGGGCTGATCATTTGGGTCCCTTCTTACTTGATAATTAAGAATACAATCTATACTTTAGAGGGCTTTGCGAATAGTTAATTATCTGGGACTCCCAATGCTCCATACGACCAAGAGAGCAGCTTAGCTATTGGCTAAACTGGTGGTAGCCACTTGGTGTGCACTGAACCGTGAAGATTTCTAGGTCTCCGGTTTAATTCCCATCGCTGCTCTCCTTGTATTTCATCTGGAGAGCTGAAATGCAAGTTATGATAGCGCACCTTCTTTCAGCTGAGAGGTTTAATCCGTTGGCACATTAAAGAATGCAGTGCATTCTTCGGAAAAGAGTAGGGGATTGTCTAACGGTGTACTGCGCAATTACCACTTGAAATAAATCTTCTTCAAACTTTTGTAGGTTAGATAAATCCAATCCTATCTTTATTAGGCTTGGTGAGGGGATAGCTGATCATATTCTGCTATCTTACTATATATTCACACAAGCACAAATCTGTCTGTCCGCTTATAGGTCACTTGAAAACGGTTTAATGGGACTTCAATGGGTGCCACTGGAAACGCATCATGATAACGACAGTAAAATAAGATAATATGGTAAGCAAAAACCAAATTATCCAAAACATACTACAATCTATCACAAACTTTGTTTTCGCAAGCGGTGGGTAGCCAAGCACTTCCGGTATATACTGATCTTAATGTTCGTTCTTTGGTTAAAATTATGTAATAGAGGCCATGTGTGATCATAGCCTAAAGAAATGTCTTCACTTACCAGACGTTCATCTGCAGGGGGCATTAGTCTTGAATAGTATTTTATTCTACTGTAGTTGGCAACAGTCTCAGGATCTGCCATATTTTCCACTTTACCAGACTCAGTTAAAGCAGCAGGCATATTAGAATGGTGGAAAGGTTTTCTGGAAGATAGAACATTAACTATTCAATCAATTTTATAATCTAAAACTATTAAATAATAGTTAATATGGTTTGCATAAAGAAAAAAAAAACCAACACATTAAATGTGTACACAATATATATCATGACATTGCAGGTAAAAAACACCACCATCATTGAGATACTGTATAAAGTTGATAAATGTATTTAGTGGATTTAATATACAAATATTCTTTCATTTATTTGATTTAATTAACTATTATATTATAGCAATAATATAAGACAGATTAGTGTTTATCTTTTTATATATTGCATGTATAATAATAATATACTGTTTACAAAAAACTTTTAAACAAATTTGAAGTTTCAGTCTCATTAAATCTCTTCAAGACGTTTCTACGTATTTTCATTGAAAGTTCCTGGTAGTACAAAGTACCATAATTTACAGTGTTAAGAAACCATTAACCCCGGAACACTTAAAACAAACTAGTTCGAGCTAAAAATTCAAAATTACGTCTCTAAAATTTTGTCTGCTATTAAAATTAGCTCTTTTCATTGGTTAGTTTGATAGTCGTTGCTTGCCAGCCGTCTCCAGCTGAACTAAAACTAGGACTTGATTTAATCGTAGTTAAAACTTTGATTACGTTGTTTATGAATACAAATTTAAGTTGCAACTAGTACTAAATGAAGTTCTAGTTCGAAGTTAGACTAAAGTTCGTTCTAAGAATACGGGCGCCTTTTTTAAAAAAAAATCTCATCTGGGGTCCTGTAGTCCAATTTCTTAATTTGAGTCCATATCACAATTATCTCTTTTCCGGCATGATAGTGACATAGGTTTGCTTCCAATTAGATTCCCAAAAATTTCCCTTAGGCCTAGTTGGTTAATAGGTCTGATGTTCAACAGGCAGCTATTTTGTATCACGATGTAGGCCTATATATTTGTAATGCAAGGTGATAAGACTCAGTGAAAATAAAAATCAAAATATTATCGCTGGCTTCACTCTCTCACGTTTCTTCATCTCTACCATTTTAAAATACACTCCAGCATTACTACAAGATAGTTTAGACTCATTACTATGGTAATGTACGTTCTTACCTTTTCCTGTTTGGATCCAGAGAATCAAGCATACTTGATCGCCTCCTTTCTTCAAATTTACTGTAACTTGAAGATCTAAAATTAAGGAGATAAATTATAACAATTTGCTAAAAACGTTCTCACAAATAGATTCCCACAATAGGCCTAAGAACTCTTGAGTACAATTGTATTTTGTAATTGTTTTATTTCCATTTTTTGATACATATTCTGATGTTTATAAAATATACAAATAAATGGAAATATAGTAAAATATAGTTTATATAAATACAGCCATTTCTTGCTTCTTTTTAAAAGCAGGCTTACCTGTACTACACTACAGTAGATGCCTGGTAACTAGGCCTAGTACAAAAAAAAATCGGATAGAAAATTTCCCACAACCAAACAGGTTCCAATGGTAGGCCTATTCTTGTGGAAGCAAAGACATTCTTTCTAACAAACACATTTTATTTAAATTAAGACTGAATTTCAGAACCGGTATGCCTTAATGGACTTTGCTGGAAAATTCAGCACAAAGTGCTGAATTTTTCCACAAAAAATAAAGGCTTTTCAAAGGAAACAGTGGAGGACATGGCCAACCACCCTATACGCTGGCTAATCCCAGCCTAGTGCTCCTTTCGCGTACAGCACCCGAAACAGAGCTACCACCATCGCCGGGCATAGCCAGTGCGTAGCCTAAAAAAA